TAATTGCGTGTTTGTGAAACATGTGTCTTTTTGAAATTGGGTATTTTTGAGATTCAACGAGAGATTTGAAACCTTCATATAGAGAATTGACTTCGAGTGACCCCGGAGTGATCTGTAGATGGTTTTTAGGTGGTTAGGACCAAAACTCTGTAGGAAAACTCTGGCTTAAGACCTCTGGCTTGTGGAGAAAAAACTTACTTTGTCAGTTGAATTGATTAAATGTTTGAGCAATTTGGCTGTTGCAATTAAGTCAATATACTGCGTTTGAAACATTGTGCCATTAGAAACAAGAATTATGCTTTTCGGATCACAAGTTTTGTCACATTTATCTTTCAGCTCAGCATTGTTTCAAAATCTATCCATGTCTCATATTAACAGAATAAAAAGACAAATTAATTCGACAAACAAAGTGTGCTATCTGCTGCAGAATTTTTGAACTTGCACGAGATCTACTTCTCAAGTCTAAACTCTTACCGGTCAAACTTTTTATTGCCCCTCATAGCTTCACTAGATTATTCGTTGTGGCGAAAACATAAGAAAAATGGAAATTGGTAGGCAGTTCATCTAAAAAAGTGTTTCTCTGAAACTAAACGAACACTCAAAACAAATTAAACAAAAAACAGTTTTCTTAAGACAAATAGGGGAAAGAAATTTATAGTAAACAATAATTGTAATAGATGGAACATTTATAGCAAAAAGCTGAGAAAAGTTACAGCTAAAAAACTTATTTTTGAACTTGAACGTTTCTTTGATACAAATATACAATAAATTTCTTATTGTCAGTTTCATGATTTTTTTCGATATTATTTTTATGTCTAATATTAGTATTTTTTATTCATTTTCATATATACAAGTTGTATTTGTATTTTTACACGCCGGTTTAATTGTCGATATTTAACTTATTATATTAAATCCATTTTGTATCAGCAGGTATGTTTAATCAATCGCTTTTTTGAATTAACATCTTTGTGAAAAAAAAATTTGTTATCAGTTTCATTTCCGGTTTGAGAAGGTTTATTAAAGTAGGATTGTTGATCCTAGTACCTTTTTAAAAAAGTTAGAACTCGACTTAAAAAGTTTTCCTGGGAATTGCATGCAGTATGGTTAAGCTAATGGTAAGCACGTACTGTTGTGATGATTGTTTTGTCCACAAGTTAAGATGTGAACAAAAAAATGGTCGATAAAAATTGAGTTCAACTCTTCAAAGCTAGAGTATATCCTATGGCTGAAAACCCAAGTGTTGGACGATAGAACTACACTCCCTAAATGGAAAAGTATAGAGACAATTATTATGAAAATCCTAGAACCGATACTAGAGATGACTCAAGCTGGGCTCGCAAAAGTACGAACTCCTCGGACCCTCCTGGCCCAATTAAAAACGATTGCAGAAGTGCAAATAGCCCTTTAAGAACCCGCTAACTAGCGGTTAGATTGGCATCAAAAGTTAGTATATTTTGGGTTAGATGAGGGAGCATAAGCTTAGAACCCCAGTCCCGCTGGACACGTAGTTATGATTTTTGGCCCTAATTAAACAAACCCAACCCTAATTTCTAAATGTCGTCTCTGAGCACTCAAGGAACACAGGGCGCCAACAATTAGAGAATTGGTAGAAAGTGGCAAGATAGAACATGTGTTAGATTTTAAACCAAACCCGAGGGCTGTACCGTAAGTTATCAGCGCTAGAAAACAAACCCTCAGAACAGAAATCGGCTATTTCTCCAGAATAAGGGGCAAGGTCAAGTGGATTGAATAGCCAAAATAGTGAACCATACCTATGTGGTATCACTTTCCGGTAATAATAAAAACTGTCGGTAACACGATAAAAGACCTTTGCGAAGGGATTACCCGTGAATAAATAATTGCGTGTTTTTGAAACATGTGTCGTTTTGAAATTGGGTATTTTCGAGACTCAACGAGAGATTTGAAACCCTCATATAGAGGATTGACTCCGAGTGACCCGGGCGTGATCTGTAGATGATCTTTAGGTGGTTAGGACCAAAACTCCGTAGGAAAACTCTGGCTTAAGACCGGAAAATGCCGTATCTCTTAGACTGGAAAGGGTCTTCCCCCACACCGGGAGGTTGGAAAATTAACAGGATAATGAAAATACAGACCATGGGAAGCTAACTGAGTAAACTTAGGAGGTTGAATTGACCTCGAGGGTAACAAATTACTGAGTTCAGGATTTTTTTGAATAGGATCATATGACACTTCTTTGATTGGTTCGAATTGTGACATCCACGGCATTTTTTTTATCTTAAAAGCGTGACAGGTTTAATAAAAAGAAAACGAACTTGGCACTTGTAAAAGTTGACAGTGGAAGGCGTGAATGTATAGAACACGTGCGGACTTGTGATTTAAGCGAATGCCGTGACTTATAACGATTAACCGTGACTTTAACCAAAGCTAATTTGAAAAAAAAAGATAAGGAAGTGAGTGGAGAATACCGGAGAGCCTCCAAGAGGACAGCAGAACAATTACGTTAGGAGAGCAAACTGTTGATCTCAAAGATAGTTAGATAATAATGAACAGTATGCAATTAGATAATTGTTTCTCCTTAGAGGGAACGATTCAGCAAACCCAGAAGGGTAGCTGGTCCGTGAAGGACGCTATTGCTTGAGGTGAAGCTAATTGTAATTCAAAGTAGTTAAGTTGAATCGAATCCGCGTTTGGTTCCGGGCTGAGTTAGTCGAGTGAGTAGTTGAAGTTGGCGATTATAGGACTGAGTCAAGTAATGATTGACGAGCAAGATAACGAAGCGGTGGCCGATCGGAACGACATGCTTCGTTATAGCAGTAGTTTAATAGTAGTAAGCAATGTAAAGGATTTATTTTTTATTTTCCTTTGTATTCGAAGAAAAAATGTTTGCGGTGCCCTGCGATCTGAAATAACTGAAAACTACAAAAGAAATCAAGAAGAGCACATTTCCAGGGAGAATTTGTGTAATGATTTGATGATTCTGTTGGCCCGGTTCAGTCTGACCAATAACATAACCTTTTCGTGTTCTAGTTTCTTTCGCTATTACAATGTATATATAAACAGGAGAAACTCTGCGGCCATTAAATAAATTGAAGGCATGCTTGAAGAACGCAAGCTCCACGATATTCTCGAACTAAATATCGTTTGCTTCACTGTTTCAATCAGATAAGAAAAGAGAAAAGAAAAGTGTGCACTATATAAAAAACAGGTTGAGTCTAAAATGTTGTTGTAAATTCATTTTAGCGACATTGGAAAGCTCGAAGCAAAAAAATGATATAAAAAGCAATTTTCCATAAAATTTTTTGAGAACTGAGCTTTTCGGGTAAAATATTCTGAAATAGTCAACTTTTCCCTCTAATTACTTTTTTATAACCAAACCTCGTGGCATACTCGGGGCAATATCAACGCGAACAACTAAAAGAAATAACTAATTTACGTATCCAGCAGTAGAAAAAAGGTGATTTTCGTGCTTTTCGAGGAAATACAGAAAGAATTCTTAGGCTTGAAACAAAAATTAAAATCAACAGGTTTTTTTTCGGATTAATAGTTTTGTCACATTTATCTTTCAGTTCAGCATTGTTTCAAAATCTATCCATGTCTCAAATTAACAGAATAAAAAGACAAATTAATTGGAGGGTGAAAGTGTGCTATCTGCTGCAGAATTTACTTGCACGAGATCTACTTCTCAAGTCTAATTCTTACAGGTCAAACTTTTTTTTGCCCCGCATAGTTTCACTAGAATACTCGATGCGGCGATAAATATTAGATTAGTGGAAATTGGTAGGCAGTTCATCTAAAACTAAACGAAAGCTCAAAACAAATTGAACAAAACAGTTTTTTTAAATTAAATTGGGGAAAGAAATCTGTAGTAAACAATAGTTGTAATAGATGGAACATTTTAAGCATAAAGCTGAGAAAAGTTAAAGCTAAAAAAAACTTATTTTTGAACTTGAACATTTCTTTGATAGAAATACACAATAAATTTTTTTATTGTCAGTTTCATTAGTTTTTTTCGAGATTATTTTTATATCTAATATTAGTATTGTTTTATTCATTTTCATATATACAAGTTGTATTTGTATATTTACACGCCGGTTTAGTTGTCGATATTTAACTTATAATGATAAGTCTATTTTGTATCAGATTTGTATAAGATATTGGTATTAACTATATCCCAGAGTGAAACTTGTGAGAACGTCATTAGATCAAACGGTCTTTGAGCGGAAACCTTGTTTCTATTTATGTAAGACTCAAACCGTACAAAAACAATAGACCAAAATAAATAACAAAAAAATAGAATTAAACCATACTGTTGATAAAAAGTACCCATTTTGAAGTTCAAAATACAGGAAATCAAGTGTTTTTAGTTTTTATCATAACGCCATCACCAAAAAAATGAATATGAGGTTTTGTCACATCAGTATAATGTCAACTTGCTTAAGTTTGCAAGAGCTGCAGATAAGGGGCAAAGTGAAAATGGTATGTGAATTTGCTTAGGTAGTTTTTCCAAGGATGCGAACAAGTTCGAGACGAATTTGCCCTAGTTTTTGTTCCGATCATTGAAAATGGAGAGGAAGGTTGTATTCGGGTGCAAAATCAGGTACCACAAATAATGATTGGACTGGGTTGATTGATATATTATATTAAAGCTCTTCAAGTCATGATTCGAATCACATTTAAATACTTATTAATTATTTTTTTCTCGTTTTTTTCCAGTCATTTTTTCGACAATTATTTTTGTCCATGTCGCTTGTATTACTACCACTGTCAAATAAGCGCCCAATAAATATATTTTTACGTCACATCGTTTTGTCACACCAAGCAGAAAAAATAACACTATTTAGGAAAAAAACTTTCTAACCCGTAGTTTTCTAAAGACTATGGCCGGAACATTTTGTGCTACTTGCTTAGTAACCGACTATCCTTGTTTTTTCTTTTCGATTATTTTTACTAATTTGGATGAATTTCATTGTCGGCTGTATCAGATTGGAAATAACCTTCTGTGGATTTTCAAAAAGAAATGTTGCTGAATATTTTAAATTAGACCAGCCAAGAGTAGTATTGCACTTCAAATAATCTATAATTTTTTAATTCTGGCTTTTTATCAGAGAAAAACAGAAATTCAGCGACTTTTTCAAAATCAATTTCCTAGTCAGATCCGATCCAGTTATCTTCGGTGTCAAAGTCACTTCTGCCATTTGAGTCGAACCAAACCCCCTCCTCCTCCTCCTCCCCCTCACTCTCTGGCCCTCCCCCCAAAGTGGCCTGTTTGATTTGTTGCTTCAGTGCGTCCCACCACCCCATCATCATCCCCTTGCCCTCCTCCATCCCCTCTCTCACTCCTTCTGCTGATTGGTCCATCAAGTCTTTCACTCTGTCCATGTCAAGGTCAAGGTCAAAACCTGCAGAAAATGAACAAACAAGACTCAATTAAAGCAGTCAAAAACTATTATCAACTATTTCTTATCTTCAAATTACTGTTAAAAATACTGTAAAGTCCATTTTAGACATTATCTGACTGTAAAATGAGACAGCAAACATGACGATACAACTGAAGTTTATAATCAAAACCATATTGTGTTTCTTATCTTTAACTAACCATTTGGTTGTATAAGCGAACGCCAAAACGTTGATATTTCGTTTCTGGTCAGCGAATCTAAAGGACGTTGAGAAATCTAATTCCTAATTTTTCTCACTTTGTAATCAGAAATCAATAAACATTAACTAGTTTCAGCATTTAATTAAATTTACATAGACTTAGTTTATGGAATTGTATGATTAGTACTTTTGGTTTATGGAGGAAACCATAGTGCAAAAAATTAGCTAACCATTACCGCCTTTTAACGAATGATTAAAAAAATCTAGGCCAGCAAGTTTGGCTTTACGTTTTTTAAACAAACAGTTTGTGGACAGAAAATTTATCAAATAGAAAGAATTATCATCTCCCGGCATATTTTGAATTAAAAAATTGAGAGATTTCAAGCAGAGTTTCAATAGTTTTGAGAGTTTGAAATCGTTTTAGACTATTTTGAGCAATTTACCAGAATTTTTTAACCTGTTTTCGTAATTTTTAAGCTCAAAAACGGCTCAAATTTCTCAAAAACGGCTCAAAACGGAATCTTTACTTTTGAGCTAATTTGCATTAATACCTGTCTCAGGTAGACTCATCATCTGAGCCAGACTTCTGGCAGCCATCGCCCTCACCCCCACATTGACGCCTCGTTTTCCCACAGCTGGACCATCTGCAGACATGTTAGCCACCTGTCTTTCTGTCAATCTCAACCAGTTTCCAATTACCCGACTACACTCTTCCCTCCAAGTAGTCCCACTAGATTCATCAAGGGATCCAGACTCTTGACGCTTAGCCAGAACTTCAGAAGAGCCATTAAAAAGTCCAGACTCTTGGCGTTTTTTCATTATATCAGAGTCGTTAAAACTTTCAGCGAGTTGGCGTTTTTCTATGATTCCAGAATCATTAAAAACACCATTCTCTTGGCGTTTCTCGACAACTTCAGCAGACTCATTGTCAAATCCGGACGCCTGGCGCTTTTCTAGCATCCCCATTGTTTCATTCAGACTCAAAAGGTCTTGTCGTTTGAAGATCATTGTGATTGTGTCGTTGTCATCCTGTCGTTTTTCTACTAGTGTGTCGTTCAGTACGTAATTTTCCTGACGTTTCTCCATGACAGTGTCGTTAAGCATGGCGAACTCTTGTCGTTTTTCTAGGGATGTGTCATTGAACATGTCCGTATCCTGTCGTTTATCCATGACAGTATCGTTAAACATGTCAAGCTCCTGTCCTTTTTGCATGACAGTGTCATTAAAAAACTCCTGCTCTTGTCGTTTTTCGACCAATGTTTCATTTAAGTTATTCAATTCTTGTCGTTTTTCTGTCGTCGTATCATTCCACATGTCTTGCACTTGTCGTTTTGTCATCATGAGTCCCTGTTCGAATCTTAGAGTGACATTGTCAGATGTGGACAACTGTCGTTTGACAGCCTCTAATGTTGCATTGATGAGTTGTCGGTTTTCGAAGACCTAAAAAGGACTTCAGTTGAAAAAACTTCCCACAATCAGTAGAACAGACTGTAAGATTTATGGAAAAAAGCGCATGGATTGAAATAACCAAAAAAGAAAGTCTTCAAAATAACGCACAAAACAACGTTTATGATTTTGATTGCAGTATTGGCGCTTCAAGGATTTTTTGAACAGGGTATTTTCGAAAAAAAATATATGAAATTTTGTACATTTAATCTGCCTATTGAAACTACAAGCCCTCCAAAACGCTTAAAGACCCTGTTTCGCCGAAAATATGCGATTTTTTGAAAAATGAGACCAAAAAAGGCCGTTTTGAAAAACCTTTTTGAAGATTTTCAGCCAAAAAAGCCTTTTTTGGCGCTTGCTCTCCTTAATTTTTTATATTGGAGCCGAAGAAGCCTTTAGAATGAATATAGAACTGCCTGGCCGATATTGAAATTCGCAAAATAGTACCAAAGGGGGGTTTCTCTGGGTGTTGAAGAAGTCGTATCCCCCTCCCCTAATCTGGGGCTTCGACCTCTGGAATGGAGCATATAACACATAATCCCTTTATTTTCAGGTTGCGAACTAAGATTAAGACAATTTATCCACGAGGGAAAGGAGCAACATACCAACATACGAGGTGTAAAGGTTCATCTGAAAGTTTCTCTTATATCGGAACCCTAAATTGAGAGAAAAATAACTACCTGTTGTTCTATGGCCTGTCTTTTCTCTGCACCCAGACTGAGAGTGGCATTTTGCAGAGCAGTTTCCAGCTGCCTAGAAGCCAAGTCAATGACCTAAACAAAAAATTTATTATCTCCTGAATTGTTTTAAGCTTGAGCAATAGTTTGAAAATATTGAAGTCTATCGTTATTGAGCAGCCATAAATATGGCAATCAGGTTCTGCCTATAATTAGTTTATTTCCGAAAAATTTAAACATTTTTTTTTCGAAAATGTTATATGATGAATGAATTATTACGTTTCGTGAATTTAAAAAAATCTTCACAATTTCTGATCGATCATTATCAACTTTACAACTTTAAACGAATCAGTCTAAAAGTGACATCTTTTAAACTTCAAAGCTTTCTTTTGTCGAAAAACTTAAACCGGATAGTAGTTATGCCTAACACAGTTTCCGGGCATTCTTTTTTGCTTCTGGAAGAAGAGATCATTAAGCCCTCAAAAAACCGTTTTGAATTCAAATAGTTTCAGATTTAAAACCAATTAAACTATAAAATCAATATGCCAATTGGTTTAAATATAAGCGCAGTTTGACAATCTGAGAGGACTAAAAAAGTTGTTCAGACCTCTAGCGCCATGACATCGCCCCGTTTAACCATCATCAATCCATCCTCCACGGCTGTCTTGTTTTCGTACCATCCCTCCATCTGTTGTCGTTTTCCTGAAACTAACCGTTCTATTGATTTTTCGAGTTGAGATTACGTTCATTAACAATATGAGAGAGTCCTTCATTGTCTTTGGAATTCGATAGAAAAAAATCACAAAACGACGGAAACTGTTTTTTTTTTCGTGAGTGAAAACTCAAAAAATTGCAAATTTTCACATAAAGTTTGTGATTTTTGCAGTTTTCTTACTTAGTTTCATAAAAAAAACTATTGAGCCGGAACAAATTTGCGCAGCTCAAATGCTTGATGCAAAAATTGGAAACAATAAGTGATTAAGCAATGTCCACGAAACCCACTGAGAAGTCTTAAGACTTTATCAATTGAAAGCAGGAGTATGGCTCTTTTTTTTATTAATTCTGTTTTAGCCTCGGTCACTAATTTTTTTTATAACTTACGCTGATATATTACACTAACATTTAACACAGTGGCAAACCATTTTCAAGCTCAATTTGGCGCTACCATAGCTCTGAGAGCTGCATAAACTCAAAAATTGAATCTAAGAAGCAATTTGAAAAATTGTTCTTTCTTTTAATCGACTAAAAATATGAAATTTTTGTGCTCATCGATTGAAGTCCAAATCTGTCCTCAGGGGCGGAATTAGAAGGGGAGGCGGGGGGGGGGGGGGGTGGACGCTTTTCTTTCTCCCCAGGGATTCGACCCCCTGCCGACCCAAAGGATCCCTACTTTGTACAATTTTGAGATATCCATTTTTGGCTGACTGACTTAAAATTTTTCTAAAGATGCCTTTGGCGCCAACCATACTAAATTTGAGGGGGGAGCGAGCGCCAAAAAACGCAATTTTTTGGTTTATATTTTCCAAAAAGTGCCTAAAACGCCTTTTTTGGCCTGTTTTTTCAAAACTTACCTGCGGCGCAGAAAATTTGGTAAAAATGGGGTCTTTATAGAGATTTGGGAGAGCTCAGAAAACCAATTTGGTCGAACTAAAAAAAGGCCGGTAAAATTTTCGACCTTTTTTTGAAAATCCGCCCCAACCCCCCATCTAGAAAATCTTAAATCCGCCCCGCCTCTGTCTGTCACCGTTCGACTTATATTTAAAAAAAGAACTTAGAAAGACATTTTACTAGCCTAATGATCTTTCTAATGTTGCATTTAAAAGCTCTTCCTGTCTTTTGACTGCCTTCCCCACTTCCAGTGAATTTTGTTGACCTTGGAGCGGTCGGTTGAGCATCACTTCAATCAGGTCAGAAGCCAACGTCTCAATGTCACCATTATCTGAAAATGAGATTTTGATGATGAGAGAAACCAGTTGCTGTGCAAGTAGCACAGATTGTTTCAACCAAATAAGGCAGAAAAAAAACGAGAAGAGAAAACTGTCTGTGATAATAGAAGTGTGATCAGTTTAAGCTCAAAATTGGCTTAAACTGAAAGTCGCCAAAATATGGTACAAACCAGCTCTTTGACTACTCGAGCTCATCCGGTAAGAATAAAACAGAGTTTTCATAAACCTATCTTATAGCATAACAAAAATTGCCAGTTCCGGTGCTGTGCAAGTAGCACAAGATGTTCCGAGCACAGTTAATTTTGCAAAAAGAGTTTTGAAATTTCAAAAAATAAATCGCAAAGAATAAAAAATATGTACATTTTTTGGACTGGGAATTAATTAAATAGAAATTATTATAATTAAAAATTGGATTCTTAAACCCAAAATTGGTTTAAAAACCAATTTATGGACCAACTTTGCTCATATATGATCTAATATCCAACATTCTCGACACTGAATAACTTTTATGCGTTTTTGGAATCCGAATCACAGCAATTTGGAATTCAGTGTGACACCGCAGTTGACTTCCTACCAGATTTTTCTGAGTAGGCAAATAGCGCCAAAAACACACACCCTTTGTCGTAGATAATTCTTCTCGCTTTGTGAACTGGTCGGAACCACTAGAACTTGAGTATTCAAAACTTTAAAAGTAGCAGGTCTTTGTTTTTTAAATGTTTTTCTGTTTGAATTTTATTCTGAGAATTGATTTGTTATGTTTCGACCATTTGTACGAAAAAATCAAATCTCCAGTTACAACTTGACTGAAAAGTGGGTTCAACTATTGACCTTCAAGACAAAACAATCGTAATTTTGATTTAAAAAAATAGCTCAAACATCTTTACCGGAAAATTTTAAATATAGTTATACGTAATAAACTATATAAAATTATATAATAAACGTTTCGTTCTTGAAAATGAATTTAAAATGCTTAAGTAAAAATTCGACATTTAATAAGTATTCCAAACAACTAAAAACCAATTATTCAGAAAAATCTCCCATAGAGTTCGTACCTTCATCTGGAATGGGCGAAGACAACACAATTGTTCTATTGAAGGTTGCCAGACATAGAACCAGAGCTGCAAGCCAGAGCAGGCTGCCACTAATCTGCAAATGCATTAGCCTACAACTTGTTTTAACTTTTCTTTTCGGATTTTTTCAATTATTTTCTCGACTGGAAGCAATTCAGTAATTAGAACTTATCCAAAGAGAAACTTAGTTGGTCAAAATTAGTTGCCGACTGGTTTTGAAAGAGTAAATCTCCACTTTTGATTCAGCGCTGCTGTTTAATTACATAAGGAAATGATATCTTCTGAATTATAGGACAAAGGAAAAGGGGGATTTTTGGGGGGGGGGGGGGCGGATAACGTTTACATTACTTAATACAAACATTTATACGTAAGCAAAAGGCAATGCGCATGCCTTTGTGTATAAATATACGAGACACTGGTCGTCTTCGGTTGTTATAAACAATTGTAAACACCCGATGAACAGCTTACGTATAAGAAAATGGATCATTGGATTGACGAAACTGACTAAGCGCTCCATTTTGACCGAAAGCTTGCAAAAAAGGGCTGTTAAGTTACTGATAAATATTCTAGAGAATCAATTTTATCTATATTTTATTCTGCCTTTTTTGAAAGCCTTAAAAATAAAAACAGTTCATAATAATAACAACACAGCCTTGTATATCTCGTATATTTAGTGTCTCGTATATTTATACACAAAGGCATACGCATTGCCTTTTGCTTACGTATAAGAAATTTGAAGAAATTTTTACGAACGTAAAGGGGAACGGCACGCTTAAGTGATTTCCCGGGTTGAAGTCCCATTGCTAATTATCGCTTTTTCTGTAGTATCCTAGTAATCGCTTTTTTCCTGCGCTGTTTCATGTATAAATAAGAGTTTTTTGCGGAGCTAAACCTGCGATATTTCAGGGTAATTCCAGTAATGATTCCTTAGAGCATCAGCGCTAAAACTTAATAAATTTCAACTCATTCTAGTAGCCTTCAAATGAGAGTTTGATTTAATAAACACTATAACTTGTTTATAAATAAAGATTCGTGGCGATGAGCTAGCATAAATGTCTAATAGACTGATGGTTGCGGTCTCGCGCCCCGGTAGGTAACTAATTTTCTTGTGTTGATAGGTTTTTTATCGCTGTTTTATTGCTGATTATTAGGCCAATTAGCGATAAAGCATCGATGAAAGTTGCTGTTGTGGCAATGAACATCGATAATTCATCCATTGCGATCGCCGATTGTTTCACTTTTTTATTGTTAAATTTCAATGTTACCTCAAACCGGGTTACTCCAATACTCCATTTACCCCTGGTGGACCAAAAGTCGCAAAAAAAATTCCCTGATAAGAATCTTACAACTTCTCACAAAAATAAGCGGCTCTTCCCACCCCCTCCTCCACCTGCAAACTTTTACAAATAAAATACCTATTTACCTTGTCTGCTTAATATGAAATTGACATGCGATGCGGACTAATTAGGCTGTGCCAAACATACTTGAACTTCAAGGTTATCCTTGTAAAACCACTCCTTACTCCAAAAAGTAGATAGTGGTCTGATAGTGGGGGATAGTGATAGTGATAAGGAAAAAGAGCCAAATAAGCTCACGATTATCTCTTTTAAGAAAGCTCTAAGCTAGTGACTTTTCCTGCGAATATTAGAAATAAAAAAGTTATTAAAATTTCTTTTAACGAGTACAAAGTGTTCCGCTGTCGCAAAGTAAAGTACAATAACGGAAACTCATTAGCCGATTTTAACCATTTGTCACCCATTCGTCATTTAACCATTGAAATAACAACTAGGGTTTCAGAGTTAATTATGCGCTGAGTTCAAAAATTGCCGTTAAACAGCTGCACCCCACATACAACACGTACGGAGCTAATAACATGATTCGCCAGAGTTGATTTTTTATTGTCTATAAAATAATTTGTAGTCGCTTACTATGAGATTATTTCAGAAAACTCAAGAAACTTTTGTCTCGGAAATTTTTGTTCGAAACGCATACAATAATTCCACAATCTCATTTTTGAAACAAGCGTAAACTTTTTTAAAAAAAATAAGTTTTTCAAAATTGATTTTAATCCATAACTACAGCATCGAAACACGTTCAAAACGTAAATGGAGATTTGTAGAAAATTATAATCTAGCAAAAACTCTCTTCAAATCTTACAAAAAGTTCTATGATAAGGGAGTTACTTGTTGAATGATCACCTCGAGGAACTTTAACTGTCATCATAATGCTTCAGTCTAAATCTGTGATATTAAGAGCATAATGAAAAAATGACAGTTTTGTGTAGTTGTCCAGTATGCTAACTCTCTCTACACAAAACGAGGCCTATTTGTATTTTTTGATACTGAAAGTGGATTCCGCAACTAGGGTGCACACTGCTCTGTCGTGGAATTTGCATCAAGGCAAGTTTTTGTTGATTTTTTTGTTGCTGTGGAAGCCAGCGAAAAATGGCTGACACAGAAAGCAACTCAGAGTGCTAAGCATTTTTTTAAAATCTTTTGGCTTGTCACGAAAATTATACCATCAAAGTTTATTTTTCGAGCATTGATTGTTGTTTCTGCGATATCTGGCTTGTGGAATTTACCTAAAATTTTGACATGTTTAAAGGCGCGTCCAGACAATTCGGCCAAAGACAATTCAGCCGATTTGAAATTCAGACAATTCAGCCAAAAGTATGCAGACAATTCAGCCAATAGTAGTGACCGCCGCAGTCGCGCCAACGTGTTGCGAGCTTGCCACCAGAGGATAGGACTCTATACAAAATTTAGAGCCGGTTATCGCCGCAAAGCGGCGAGGCGCGCATAGCGCGCCCACCGGCGACCTTAAACCGAGAAATAACTCCAATTCCAATTTTTTTCTTTCGAATCTAGCGTTTTTTAAAATTGGCTGAATTCTCTTTGGCCGAATTGTCTGTGCGCCGTCTAAAGGATTGTACGCAAAATTCATTTCCGCACGCGAGTTGTTGTGGTTTAATTAACTAGTACTGAAAACGATAGCAAACATTTCTGCAGTAGCTTTACACCTAACTTAATCGTCGCTCTTTCACCTCTAAGGTCCAATGCTAGAGTTAATGTTTCTTATAGTTACAGCGTTTCGGTATAACAATTTTTAATTTTAATTGAGTTTTTCGTTTTTAAATTGCTAAATTTTCCTAAATAACTATCAAAACATAAAAATTATAGAACCGTGAGAAATGAAAAATAATTACTGATTGGACGCAAAACAAAGAAACAAACAAGTAATTGAACAAATAGTGGTATAAAGCTTAATACAAGCTACCGAATTGATAGTTACTACGAAAAAAAAACAATCAAAAAGTTCTGAACTCATCATAATTATTTCAATTTCTCACTGTGCTTTTAGCTTAAAAAACATTAGCAAATAAGTAAAACAATTTTGGAAAAATGGATGTCAGTCGATGAACAGAGTTCTTTTATTTGATAAATTGGTATTTGAGTCTTCATTTGGATTATAAGCTGCTGTTTTTGTTTTCTTGCAAATTTTCACAAATGTTGAGGACTCTTGTGAAAATCTCGAAGAAAATTATAGATTTTCCGAGATTTCAGGAACTCGTTTTCAGGGCTATAATTCATTTCCTGAAAAGACGTTTTTTTGTACGAATTTTTTTTCGACTCTTCAGCTCCCACCGCCACATTTTTTTTGTGTTCTCAACTTTTGTTCATATAGTTTAATTGTCCAGAAAACTGGTGCTGCGTTACGCAATTGCAAAGGCACTTTTTTCTCATTTACAAATTTGTAAAATCAAGAAAAACTTATGTTTATGCACAAAAAATTAGGCTCATTTTCCTTTCCCCCACGTTTCAAATTTTCAATATTTTTTGTTCTATTTTTTTTTTGGAATGGTAAATGCTTGATCATCAGACGTAAAGAATGATGAACAAAACTACTACAATCATTGGTAACTTTTGAAATTCAAACATGCTTAAATAGTTTTGAAAACTTGAAATTCAAAGGCGGGGAAGTGGAAAAGAGCAGGAGAGATGGAGGGGTGGGTGGGGGGGGAGGTTTGCTATGCGGCGGAGCCTTTCTTCTATAGTTATGACAATAAGAATGAACTAAGTGGCACGTGTCTAACTAGAAGTCACCTGAATGTAAAAACTTAATTATAAAGATGTGACTTTTCTTGTTTTTTTATTGAAAAAAAGCAAACGCTTATCAAGCAACTCAACACTACAACCACGCACTAATCACTCGTTTATCATTATAACCTAGATTATTATTATCCTGCAACTTATTACAAGTTTTTATCATTATAATCAGTCAATGAATCAATGAAGGTTATACCAGCACGACCAGACGGCTAACATTGGTTAGTATTTTTTATAACTCTTTCCTGCATATATTCTCGGCTACCCGGCTCTTTAGCCTCCCCCCCCCCCCACCTTTCAAAATATCGATTTTATGTTTGTTTTACGTGTTATTACGTGTTTTACGAAAAACCTTGTACAGATTCTGTACAGATTCACAGACCACATAATAATAACAACAAAACAACAAAGTTTCCTTATTACTTGATACGATAATTATAAACCCCATCCAACAATAAAATGTTTGGAATAAAGTATTGTTTTGGCAAGGGGGAATTGTTGGCTAGAATGAGATTAATTAAGTAATTTTATGTCTTTTTTTGAGAACCAATTGAAACTAAAGTTTGGGCACGTGTTTTATTTCAGAATGTACATCCAAAAATACTTTGTTCTTTTCTAATATTTCTCAACTAAGTAGTCACATCGTATTACAGAGGTTGGCTCTTTTCCAGTTTCCCAAAACCTCGAAAAAAAGTGGTTTAAATTTGTTAAAACCGTAATTTGCATGAAAGAAAGTTTGTAAAAATTGTCGTCACTTGTTCATGCTAATACATTTTTGGGGTTTAGAACATCATAAGTTGTTTAAATAGGCTGAAATTGTTGGGCTTCAGAAAAATCAAGGGAAACTAGGGAAGTGTCCAGGGAACTGAGGTGGAAAAGAGCTTATTTTCTAGTTTTTTTTTTAGTTCAAGAAGGTCTGTTAGTTCTCTGGGCTCTTTTCCAGTTCCCCCCCTTTAAAATTCAATACTGAAAAGTCTTTTTAACATTGTCATAATGCAATGAAATTTGGCGTGGTGAACAAATCAACAATTCTGAACAGATTTGTTCTTCATACTTTACAGCGTAACATCACGCATTTAGCCGTAATAACACGTAAAACAAACATAAAACTCGGTATTTTGAAAGGGGGGAAACTGGAAAAGAGCCGTTCTCTGTTCTGTT